GTTTCAGGCAGCTGAGGTATTGTGTAGATGTTCTCTGCATGTTTTCTGCTATAAATTCTATCACTGTCTGCAACCTTCTTTTTCTCTCCTAAAGCACCTGCAAACTAGCATTCATAATAGGAAAGGTAAGACTATTTTTGTTTCCCCAGTGATCCTGGAAACTAGGGCCCTAGCAGGTGCCTTCATCTGGCTGTAGGGAGAGAGCAGGTGGTTTTCACCTGAATTAGAACAGCCTTTAATCTTGTTCAAGGCTGTGTAAGTGAAGGGGTGAATTATATCCAAACCTGAGACTGCTGAGGTGTCCTTGAAATACTGGACCCTTTTACAGCCAAAATCCTTTGGGGTGGGGGACGCTTGCATTTCTGACATTATTAAAGTGGACATTGTTAATTACATGTGAGGTTGGATTACTGCATGGCATGCAGTGAGTTCTTAACGTTAATTAATCAGAAGTAGATGAAATACACCTTTTTCTTTATTAACAATGACCTCATAGAGGGACTTTCCCCTGTGGTTGAAAGGAAATATGCTGAGGGAAGAAATAAATAAATAATAATGTGATTAAATGAGATGTATTAAGGCATGGATTCCATCTCTCTCTCCTGATTCTGGGCCTTGATTCAAATCTCATTCAATGTACTCAGCTACGTTCTGTGTTATTGGACAATAGCCTTGGTTGTGCTGGTTTTACAAGCCGTCGGTTGTACTAGAAGTTCAATTGATAGCCATATTGACAGCTCCTCAAATTCACACTTTACTTCTTCAGGAAGAATCTGAGTTTCAAGATAGATGCAGAAAGATCATTCAGGAAAGATCTTCACCCAGCATACGCTGACTTCAGTCCTGTGAACTGCAAATGATTTCTGGTATTGTGGCACTTAAGCGCTGAACTCCTTGCAAATGCACCAGCATAGAAGCAAGCAGCTCTTACCATGCAGAGCTTCAACTTATTGTATAGCAAGAAGTGGACACAGTGGCAATCAGTTGAAAAACACGGTTTTAATGCACTATCTTCCTGTCCACTGCTCTAGTTTCTCATCAAACCAAAATTTTATTCTGGAATTTGAAGGAAAAAGACAAGGTAGCTTTGTGAGTGGTTTAGATGAATAGTTTTGGAGGAAAATAGAATTTTGTCACGGAAGGCCAGCAAAGGGTTCAGGAGACATGTCCTCATATTTTACAGTAAGGATAGCTAAGATATTATTCCTGACTGCTGTTTGCATCAAGAAAGCATTACCCCATGTAATGACAGAGTGACAGCTATGTGGTTGCCTGTGTGTTTTCAAGTTCAGAATTGAAATGCTGGCCTGTAAACCCTCCAGGCTTCTTCCTTTGTACCCATTCGGCACAGTGGGACTTCTGCTTTGCTCAGCACAGCAGGACTTCTAGGTAGATAAAGCTCCTTGATGCTGAAGTGGCTGTGGCATACTTGTAATGACTGCCTCAAGGCATGCTTAGCTGCTGTCTGTTTTCCTAGTGAAGTGCAGCCATGGTAATCAGGCCTTTTTGTTGAGTGATTTCCTACTAGGCAAAAAACTGATCGGCTAGGGTCCTGGAGTTTAACTGTAAGTATCTAAGAGCCCAATGGAATACTTAAACCTGACACAAAATTATTCAGAATAACTGGAAAGAAAATACCAAGTGTCAATGTATTTTATTAATTCCACATCCAGCTGCCCAACTTCTCTTTATTCTGTCCTCTCTGATTTTCAGATCCCTAGCACTAGAAAAGAGGAAGGGTTGAATGCACAATGCCAATGCATTTTCCAAGTGAGACTGCCTACCTGATTAAAGAGTAACGCTCAAAGAGCTGACAGGCATTTTGACCTTTAAAAATCTCTCAAGAATACAGGATCATGCATAATTTCTATTCCCCTTGCTGCTCTCACTCAGGTAGTGCTTTGTTTATTGGAGAGGTGTGTCTGTGTGTGTTCATATGGGCATGGTTTTATTAGTTTACTCAGTCCAGTAAGAAATGTATCTTGCATAATAAATATCTCTAAGTATTACATGTTGCTGCTGGGCTGGTGCAGTGATGTATCATCACAGCCTTGCTAACCCTTAAGGATTTTGTTTCCCTTCAGACATCTCACAATAATTTGCAGGTTCCAGCCCTTGGGATTCACATGAACATATGCAAACCGTGCTATTTGTTACACTGCGTTTGGTGCTGGCTGCTGGTTTGACAGAGGAAAACTGGGAAATCTAACCCTGCTTTATGACTGATGTATTTTAAAAG